TATCATAACTACATGAAGAAAAGTGTATTATTGATGTTTTTCAATTCAAATAATGAGACAAGTTCAGATTTCCAAAACAGTAAATTTTCATCTTAGTATCATACTCGATCGAAAAGAATAAACAGAAACTTATGAAAAAATTTCGAATTTTTTCTTTATCTATTATATGAATATATCTAACTATTTATATACTAAGCAAAAGACTCTATCCATTGCACAAGAACTATGACCGAATCTAATATATATATATTGTGCTACAGCTTTCACTAATTTAGATTGTTTTGTTATCAACTTCTGCTGCATAAAAATCCAGTATAAAACTTTCTGATAAAAAATAATAATCATACAGATAAAGATATCGATAATACATAATATTTAAAAAAACTGAGTGTCATCATTGACGCCTCAGAAAATGCGTCCTAACTATGGTCACATTTTTTTTTCATAAGCGACAGGATCGAATCTCTCTGACGCATCCGGTTGTGCAACGGGCCCACCAACGGGTGGCGAAAACGGCCCGGGCATTTGTTTACATCAAATAACATTTACTAGAATAGAAAATAATTCGAATTGCGCAATAACATTATCCGTTCGCGGATATATGTGCATTCTATTCTTTCATGATGCATAAAATAACTATACATATACATATATATATTTATATATATGTGTTTTGTCGTTCTTTTATTCTCTTTTATTTTTATTTTATTCGATCAAATACAACGTTTGAATTTTCATATATTAATAAAAAAAAGAAAACACACACATGCTGCTCTTATTATTAGTTTTTTATTAGCTATATAAGACACAGTTCATTTGAAAACAAATGAAAACGATCGAAAATTTTAGTTTCGGTGCTTTTTCTAATATTTTTTTTATTCATTGGTAATGTTTATCACCCATGCCAACGGTCAATTTCTTTTGTGCATGAGCAAGATGATCACTGTATTCTTGAAATCATTTAGAGTTTTGTTTCAAAAACTTAGTTAAAACCGATTTTCGTTGATGAGAAAATTTTGAATTAATTTTAAGCGAGTCTCATTTATTATAATCTATTTAGGTCGTGAAATTTAAAGTGAGTAGAAATCGAATATAATCGAAATAATCGATGAAATTTATCGTTTTTGAATAGATTATTTTTGATTGGTGTCGTTTTTTCAATGTTTTTCAATTGATTTTAATCTAATGATTCGTCTAATTCTTGTCACATGATCTCATGTGTTTTTCACTGGTAAGAGATGGTTCATAACTTGCTGAAGAGAAGATGAGAAACGATTGGAGTCATGTTGTGTGTTGAGAAACTCTCAAACATCGTCTTTAGGAGCATGGATTGATCGTGTTTATGTCTAAGATGTAAATAAAATAGATCACTGTTTAGTTTTTTGATTTGGATCTCTAAATCAAGGATATGGGTGTAGGTGTGAGGGTGTGGGGTGTGAGTATGGGTGGGTGTGGGATGGATGTGGAATTCTAGATCTTCCCTCCATTCATACCCGCACCCACACATCTGCCCATACCCACGCCCTAAATAAAGAAATGAAAAATTTCATATATATATTCTACTTGATTTTTCGTCTTATCAAAAACTCTATTCATAAATCAAACACTGTACATCTTTTTCTGTTAATTTAAAATAAATTTAAGAGACGCATTTTTATTCATAGTTTAAACTTCAAAATAAACCCAAACTATTGACAGTTTATTTTATTTTAACTTTACATTGGCGATAGTTTAATAATCTTTACATTTGAATTCTTTCCATGGCCTAAGTAAAATATAAAATATATTCTCGATTAACTTACGAAAACAAAATTCAGAATCAATTTTTTGAACTTTTTTTTTAATAAATGACAAAGTTCAAATGGTTCAAATTTGAAATTTATTAAATTATTAAAAATTTCAATTCGAAATAGATTAACTTGTCAATATTTAAGTTTATTGATAAGTTTATACTGAGAATAAAAGTAGTTTAAATATATTTGAAATCAAACTTTTTATTACATAATTTATATACAAATTAACATCTCTATATTTTAGTTATAACAAGACTTAAATTGAATGAACTCGTTGTTTTTAACCCAGAAAAAGTATCTGAATTCACTAACTTTTTAATCACAAATAGAAAACTAAATTACTATTGAAATGTGCACACTAGTCCAACAGCAGCTTGTTAAAGTAATAAGCATAAGTACCTTGATTAAACAGTAAGAAGAAGAAAAGAAAAAGACAGTTCAGAACCTTTTGTTGAAGGCTCAAACTGTATTCTATTATTACCGGAATAACTCCTAAAAATTAGGCGTTCTTAAGGGTTCATAGTGAAGATATCATGCTTAAGTGGCCGTCTAATAGGCATTTCGACGATATCGATTTGGGGTTGTCGAGGATATCGAAATTTAAAGCAGAGCCCTCCGATTCTCACTTTCTGATAGGTCAAGGGCTCGATAATGGGTCAGGGAAATATGAAGGGTATGGTTTTCGGTGTGAGTGTCGGTGTTTTTATTCTATTGTCCATACCCTTTTAGTTCTTGCTTCTTTTTTCAAGTGGGTGTTGACGTACGAGTTATTGGACTCTATAGAGACACGCAAACCCACAACCACACCCTCATTGAGTCGTACTCGTTTATTTCTCGAATGAATTTTGTTTGTCGACGAAAGCATATCGTATAATTGCTTATAATAGTATTTATTACAAATTTATCACAATAACAATGGTTATATGCATCAGCACGGCAATTCAAGAAAATATTTAGAAATTCGTCATGCAAAATTTTAATTATTACAACATAAACACAAAAGCGTGGAATGTTTCTTGATGATTGTTTAGAATAGCACAATATGTTACAAGGATTATTACAACGGTGTTACACGAAATGGAATTTTGATTTTCGCGATTATTTTAACCAGACGAGGCACTACGAATCTTAGTCCAGTACTTAGACCAGCAAATACACTCAAAATAGTGGTCAATATGTCCAGAAAATCAAATCGATAATGATATGTGTAAATGCATTGTTTCGGACTGCAGGCGTTGAAAAACATCTCATAGGACGCACTGCTTGTCCAAGATTCAATGAACATGTTGTAAGCCATCGTCTCGATCGTATCATCCACGTTAAATTGTGTCAATGTAGCATTCAAAACCAAAGAACTACATTTCTGATCACTACATTGCAGTTTATTCCAGTCTTGATTTACGTCTAGTGCATCCCGGTATTCTTTTATACACGTTTGTGAGTAGAAACACAACAAAGATGAGCGCAGAATTGTCTCAAGCAGGAAGCATCCAAAAACCAAACCTTTGATTGTATAATCCGTTGTAGACTGAGAGTCATCCATTGTAGCTGGCACAGAACAAGATCTTGAAGTAGCACAAGAACATGTTACATTATGATCATTCTGATTATGGATGATAGGTACCATTAGAAAAGTAGCATTATTGCGTGTGTTATTTTCGGAGACAACAAAGTTCCAATTCGATGAAAATACACCTATCAATGCATTTCCTTGAGTAGTTGCACGAACAAGATCCAGTGTTCGAGCAAATAAAATGAGTGTTGCCATCTGTACACGTTTTAAAGTCATATTCATTTCGTTATAAAACTGAGCGCGTGTTAGTAATTGGTAATTGAGCATACTTGAATCCAAAAATGCACTAATACTCTTATTAACACCATTCTTTGCTAGTTGGCACAATCGATTTAGCCCGTCAACGAAGATAAACATCCACGACTTGAAGCTAATTTGGTTACCAAATTGCTCTCTATCAAGATGGTCAGTATGCCATGTCACAACTGTGCGAATAATGTCGCTGATGCACGCTTGGTGATATGTTTTGACACTGAACTCACTGATAAATGCCTTGTACGGTATTGATAAGGTTGTACATGGACAATCAATACTATCAGGATGAAGATTAATTAAATTTTCACACTTGGTAATAGATGGCTGTAAATGCGTTTTGGAGATGATGCGATCGAAAAAAGACGAATAGAAAACAAATACTGCAAGACAGCTGATGAGAAGAACCAGATAGACTCGCGTGTATACTTCTTGTTTTTGTACGCTGACTGAATCAGTGGAATTCGTTTTAAACAGGTTTATAGCCTTTATTGATTCAATGATCTTAGTTGGTAAATATTTACAACGAGTTCTATTCGTAGGTGACTCTAAAAGATAACGACGATAAGTCCCGTTTAATATTGACACATAGTTACGCTTCCAAAAATCACTGAGCAACATTGAACCAGGAAGTGCACGAGCTAACGGAGTGAGCGTGAATGTAGGTTTGCATGCGGACGTGACAGTCGACGAAGAGAAGAACCACTTCCGCATCTCAGAACATCTACGTACTTATTTCTGTCACAATTTGCGAGAACACTTTAAAAATGTTTTCAGAAAGGCTAATAAATTTAAGAAGTAGAAGAACACCCTTGCCTTTCGGCTATCT